AAAGAGGGGCAAGAGCTGGCAAGCTTCTGAGCCTAAGTACTGAGCGATAGACGGGAGTGCTTCGAATCGATAGGTAAAGTCTTGGAGCTCCCGGTGCGAGGAGAGCGCCGGGGGATAGAGCGTCCGGGCTTGGGACAGAAGGTCATACCTGTACAAGAGGGAGGGCGGGAGAGAGGGCGGGAGGGAGGGGGTGGGATGCGTGAGCGGGCATGGATAAGGATATCACGAAGTTCATAAATGCCTCCATCATGGAAAAGCAGACAGATGGGTAAGGAGAAAGGGAGGGAGGGCAAGGAAGGGGGGGAGGTACGGAGGGAGGGAACAGAAGGAGCGAGAGGTATGGAGGGAGGGAAGGGAAGGGGAGGTAACGGGGAGGGAAGGAGGGAGGGAGAGAGAAAGAGACAGGGAGGGCTTACAGGACAAAATCAGCCACCGTCATGCGTCCTCCCACCAGCCACAAGCCGCCTGTGGAGCAAATGGTGTAGAAATGTGAACCGACGGCCCTCCCTCCCTCGTTCCTTCCTTACCTCCCTCCCTTCCTCCCTCCCTACCTGTGGGCGAGCTCTTCTTGTGCGTCTTCTTCTCGTTCAGGAGCCAGTCTTCGAAGCCACCGAGGCGGGACGCCAGGGCGGTGGTGAAGAAACGTTCCTTCTCCCTAGCGTACGAGGGATTATGTACAAGCCGGTGGAGGGCAAGGGTGAAATCCTGTGGGAAAAAGAGAGGGAGGGAGGGAAGGAGGAAAGGAGGGAAGGAGGGAGCGAGGGACGGCCGAGTGAGGGGCTGAAAGGAGGCCTGAGGACCAAGCCTGCCGACACGAACCTGCAATTCATCCAGCAGCAGATCGACAGCTTCCATCTCTTTCACATTCCGCCCTGTCAAGTAACTTTTTCCGTGAGATCCACCCTTCCCCCCCTCCCCTCCCTCCCTCCTTCCTTCCCTCCCGGCCCGTCCCTCCTCTGCAACATCTCTCCCCGAGCACCCTCTCTTCTACCCCCCCTCCTGCCTCCCCACCCACCGATCAATCCGTACTGGCGACCCAAGTAGCGCATGATCGTCCTGGCGTGTTTCACTCCCTTTCTCTTTCCCTCCCTCCCCATCTGACACCAGCCACGTTCTTCCACCACCAGGTAAGTCGTCAAGCCCTGCGCGCTGAAGGGGACCACCGCCTGCGTGGACGAAGAAGAAATGAGCCGAGGACAGAGAGGCAAGAGGTGTAGGCGAGCGAGGCATTGAAGCATTACCTTGTCGTGGGCGGCCTCGTCTTTCGCGTCCACCCACGCCAACTGGTGGTAGTCGGGTCCCGGGCCCATGTCGAAGAATCGGTCCTGGCACGCAACAGAGGGAAATGGGGACGTGGGCGACGATAACACGGTAGCATCTGACATTATAGCATACGAATGGAAGGGAAAAGAGGGAGCGGTGACCGACCTCATTCCCTTTCAGTGGCTTACCTTCCAGGGTAGCTCCAGGTACGCAAGCAAGTAACGCACAGCCTGTCCGTATTCCCGTGCTCGCCACGACCCTGTACAAGTGAGCGCGCATGTCCAATTTAGATATTCTCGAATGGTTGGTGCACGTGTGGGGATATGCGCGTGTGCATCCGACAGAAGGTCACCCCCGTTCCCATTGTAAAAAGTGAGGCGTCGTGATATCTGCCTTCCTATCCCCTGTGGCCACGTAACTTTCCATCGTTCTCGGCTATTTATCTGTCAAATGCCATTTCCTTTCCTGGACATGCCCTTTCTCCGTTCTCAACATGGCCATACCGAGGGTGAAGTGCGTGTGTTTCCTGTGTCGATGCCGTTTGTAAGCGCGATGGACCATGGAGGACAAGGGGCCAGCCAGAGCTCCAGCCGTCGCCGCCGTGGCCGCCACCGCAAAGAGGACCGTGTGATTATTCTCGTTCTTTGACATCGCTTTGTCTTGGTCGAAAGTACCGGTCTGATTGTGTGATAAGGGCATAGAGGTGAATTCACGGAACAGGGCTCAAGTTGCATCGGCGAGTGTGATACGAGACGAGAAAAGGGACGATATTGCCTTGGCCATTGGTGAGGGGCGTGTTTGTGCCATAATGGGCATGAAACAAGATTCTTGCGGCTTGGTTAGACAGTAGCCGTGTCTGCATCGCGAGTCTTTTGAATAATGGTAAAACTGTTGCGCACGACTTGACTAGTCAATGCATCCTCGTCTGAGAGGTATCTGCCCCCCTCCCGTCATGCGACACCTGCCCTTTCACCGTATATACCATTCCCGCACTCGATCCTTTCGCATAAATTGAAGTACCACCAGTGACACATCATGCTCATTAGAAGCTACTGCGCCGCGCTCTCCTTCATCGTTGCCGCAGCTCTCTTCAGCTCAGCTTTCGCCTTCCTGCCTCCTCCCACGCCCCCACCTCCTACTCCCAAAGTCACGCAATTTAAGCCTTATTTCCGTGCAGTTTTTCATCATTTACTAGCAGTCGTCCTTCCATCGGCAGCCTTATGTTTTGGTGCAGTGCCTCCCCAGCCGGCGAATGCGTTCGGTGAAGACATTGCGGCCAAGGTAAGTTCGAGGACAGAGGTACAAAAAGGGGAACGTTGCACGGTTGGCTTTTCAACACATAGCTGAGCGATCATCTTCATGAATTTCCCTGTAGGTTCAAAAATCTTTGAACGAGGACACGACGAAAAAGTACACGGAGGACGGTATGGACTTGGTGGAGACCCTGAAAAGGCGGTGAGTCTAGAGGAGGGGGAGGGAAGGAGGGGAAGGAGGGAAGGCAGGGAGGGGGGACGAGGGAAGGGAGAATAAGTACTGAGGGGCATGTGCGTAACCGAGAGGGTCACGCTCGCCTTATAGCTTGATTAAAATGAGGTCATGGAGTGCATCTATGATGTGACACGCTCGCCTCCTCCTGCCAATCTTCCTTCTTTTCATGTCACGCAGAACTATCCAAAATAAAGCGAAAAATGACCGAATATTGATGGAAAAGACATTTTTGAACTCTGAGGCGGGCATCTACGGACCATTCGACAAGTGAGAGGGGGGGAAAGGAAGGCGGGGGGAAGGGGAAAGGAAGAGGAGGATAAGGGCAGGATGGATCGCAGTTGGGGGCAAAACCTGTGAGCAGATATCGCGGGGGAGAAGGCTGGTGTACAGGCCCATAGTGCTGGGATGAGATACCCATGAATGCCAATGGGTTTTCATGCACACATTTACCTATCTTTCGCTCATCCTCCCTTCCTCCCCCCCTCCCTGCTTTGTCTCCTCTCCCTTCAGGTTCATCCCCGTCATGAAAAAGGACGGACAATACGTCCTGCTCACCGAAGAGCAGTACAACACGCTGAAAGGCGAAGGGAAAATCGTTGGGAGGGATTTTGTGGTGGACTACCAGGTAGGAAGACTTCCCTCCGCCTCCTCCCCCCTTGCCCACGGTGGTTCTCGTACCGCAAGCCCGATCGACGTCGAGCGTTTTCGGTCGTCGTATTTATCTGTCTTCTCCGAGAGCTACCTTGAGCTCTCTCTTTTTTGGGGGTGGTGGTAGGGCGCCTTGTTTACCGCCTGCGAATTCCCCCTTCTCCTTCCACACTCATGCTTCTCTCGTGTTTGTTCTTACTACCTATGCATCCTCTGGCCGCTCTTGCCTTATTCCCCCCCTACCCTCTCCCTTGCTGCCCTCTCTTTTCCCCTTGGCTCGCTTCGCACCAGGCGGAGAGTGCTCCTGCTGCTGTGGAAGCACCGGTCATCGAGGAAGAAGACAAGAAAGCGACCTCCACAGGTAGGGAGCGAGGTCGAGAAGGAGGGCGGGAGGAAGAAGACGTAAGGGTGAGGTAAAGTGAGCCTTCCTGTACTGATGTGGGATATACGGACAGGCTCATCGTCGCAGAAAACTTTGGAGGAGGATGACGCGGACTTGTTTGAGGATGGAGATGCCGTGTGAGTCTCGAGGAGGACAAGGAGGGGGGGGGTGCGACCGTTCAAGTTGAACAGAGATGGTATCGGAAGGAAAATAACAAAGGGTGCTTACAGGTTCCTTGAGCGCTGTGTCGCGTGTCGCCTGTTGGGTAGCCATGTCACCGTTTATTTCTTTAAATTTTCCGTCTTTTTACGTTTCCTTCTCAATCTTCACCCTCCGTCCTTCGCCTTGTGCATTCGTGCACGCGAATCCCCATTCTCCTCCCTTCCCCATCCCTTACGTCCTCATCGTCTTCAGCAGCATCCGCTTATTGAAGTCATAGAGCCGCTCTTTGATCATGAGCATTAAGGCCGCAGAAAGCACTCCGCGGGTGAGCTCTGGCGCCATGCCTGAACGGGCCCAGCGGGGGAGGGAAGAGGGGGGAGACTGGTGAGAATGGGGGCAGAACACGAGGGAGGGAGGGTTCAGAGGATTCGAGCAGAGCAGACAAAATGGGGAGGGGGGAGAGAACGTCCTGACCTCTGTACAGCCCCGGAACACCCTCGTCCCTTAATGTCTTCTGCAACGTGAACAACACCGTTGCCTCTTTCCCTCCCTCCCTCCTCCCTCTTCTCCCTCTCGGACGCCCTTGCCCTGCGCCATGAGCATCTTCCGGACGCGGATCCACGGGAAGATGATAAGGGTGGCCAATGCGCGGGAGAGGGCGCCGAGAAGGAAGGCTTGCCAGGCACTCAAGGCTCTGACCGGGACTGAGGGAGGGAGGGAGGGAGAGAGGGACAACATTATATGAGGGGCACAGTGCGTGAAGAGGGAAGGGACTTGAAGGGGAGGACGGCATGGTCCGAGGTCCATTCCCTCATCCTCCCCTTACCCCCTCGACGACGGGAGAGCAGGGAAAGGATGCCTCGGCGGAGCTGCTCGAAGAGCGTGTATTGGATCGCGGGTTTCAGGCACAAGACACCCTGGGAAAGGAGGGAGGGGGGGAGGGGGGAAGGGAGGATGGAAAAGGATGAGGAACCGATGAGGAAACAGTAGAAGAGGGAGTTGCACAGTACGCGCGGCAGTGCTTGAAAAAGACGAATGTGCGTCGTGCATCCCCCCGCTTTCCTTCCCCCTTCCCTCCCTTCTTCCTCTCTGCCTCGTCCCCTCCCTCCCCTTCCTCACATAGGCGGGAATGCCCTTGTAGAGCCCGCTTGGCCCGTCCTCCTTCAGCACCTCCTTCGCCGCCTCGGACCACGACTTAAGACGACCTTGGCTGGTGATGATGCGCGTGACAACCACCTCGATGGGCACTGCGCCACAGAAATGGAGGAAAAGTGGTCAGAGAGAAGGCGTGAAAATTTGGCGGGAGGTGAAGGAGGGAGGGGAGGGAGGGGAGGGAGGGGAGAGGAGGGGGAGGGAGGGGCGGACGCGAGGGAGGGAGGGGAGGGAGGAGAAGGCAATGACGTGGTCCTTGAACGCTGGCAATTATCGGCCAGAAAAGACCTCAAAATCCAGGAATGCACGCATGTTCTACAGATAAAGACGAGGGAGACTTGCAGAGCTTGGAGCGCTTACCCGTGACTGGCAGATGAACCACCTCGCTCAAGTACCCAACAAGGAGATTCTCCCGCACCCCGAACCTGAATCTCCCAAAGGGGGGAAGGAATGAGTCTTTTTCCTCCCGAGCCCTCCTCCCACGCGTGTCCATTGCTTCGATTGTTTCCCCTCCCGCTCACCTCCCTCCGTTCAGGACCTTGACGACGCCTTTCATTGTGCTGTAGGCGTAGAAATAAATCGACTTCTCCAAAGAGCTTTGCAGAGAGGAATATTGGACCCCGCCGAAAAATCCTCCCAGACCCGCGCGGCGATAGATTTCCTTAGCCACGTCCTGTGTCGTCAGCGCCGAGCTATCTTCATCTGAGCCCTCATCACCTTCTTCCGGAGCAGTTTCCCCAGAGAGAGGGTCGGCTGCACTTGCGGCCACAGCGGCAGCGGCGGCAGCTACGTTTCTTTCTCCCTCTGCACTGGAAGTTTGTTCATCTTCCGTGGCAGCAGTTGTCGTAGCTTGCCTTGACTGCTTTTGTTCCTTTGTTTTAGAGGCCTGAATAACGGTTTTGATGACCTGCAGACATGGGAGGAGAGAGCGTCACAACGAGGACTACAGAGCAACGTGCTGGTTACATTCTCTCCATTGCAGACCAGCAAAAGTGCGGTCTCCGTGAAGACGTGAGTTTGAAACGCAACACAGTCTGACATATCAAAGCCTGGACCCGTGTGGCATTCATTTGATCCCTAGCCTACTGTCATACATCTCACCCCTCGCTTGCTCCCAAGTGACCCCTTACCTCAAGTGGATACAAGACAGCAGTGGAGATAGCGCCACCTTCAGCTGCCGACAATGCCTCTGCCAATACCTCCGGGGATGCCATGGTCGCTTCTGTGACAGTAGGGCGTAATTAATTGTGGCAGGTAAGGAGATGCCTCAGGCGCAATCGAGGGGATGAGAGGAAGCTGCCCGCTCGCTCAAAAAAATCAGCGGAGTCAACTCTATGAAAGGAGGTTTGCGTACGAAATGAAATAAGAATAGCTCATCTGACCGACGCCACCTTGTAGTCGAATTTTACCCACATAAAGCACTGTTGGGCAATTCAAAAACCTGAAAAAATAACGATTCGAAAATTGAAGTAGAGTACAGGATGTCATTGACCCTTTTCTGAAGCACAATCCTGTGAACTAACTCCTCGTTTAATCTGCCTGATCCACTTTCGGGACTAAATCTTTCCCTTTTGCATAATTACATTCTCGTCCGCCTTTTCACATCCGTCCTGGCCCTGTGCGAGCCCCTCTCGACAACCAGGAAGCCAGAGAGTCCAGCAAACTTCCCTTATGCTCGCCCTCCTTACCCCAACCCTTTCCACCGTTTTCGGGGCTTGCACTTCTACCTACATCTTCCTCTTCCCTTCTCCTTCGTTGTCCTCTTCCTTTTTTCATCTCCTCCGCGTCCAGTCGCAGCGATCCCAGCGCCGTGACCGTACTGAACACGCCTTCTTTCTCTGCGGCCCTGACCACGGCTCGTGCTGTACCTCTCTCCATCCACGTTCCTCCCTCCTTTTCTCCCCCCTGCACCACATCGCACACTTCCTCCAACGTCATCCTCATTCGCTGCAGAGACATGGAAGGGACTTGCAAATTATACAAATCGATCTCGGCATTGATCCAGGCCACGTCTTCTCTCAAACCCGCCAAGCCGACCACCCGCGATTTCCATCGTGCCATCGCTCCTTCCTTCCCTCTTTTCTCTGCTCCCTCCCCATGCTCCCACGTTTCAAGCACCACCTTGGCCCATTCCGCCTCTAGCCTGTGCACAAGCCGTCGTTCCGCATCTCGGATCCTGCTTGACCTCTCCACCCACACTGGCTTCACGCCGGACTTGGATAACACGTCCATGTAGGTGGCGGATGTCTTATCTGTGGCGTAGAGATACCCTGGAGTGGAGGAGAGGAGGTCGCGGGGATAGGCAAGGATATATGATGATCAACATAGCTTAAAGCCTTATCCAGGTTCCCATCGCTCGTAAGGCTTTCCCTGTCTTAGCATGCTACCGCCGCCTGCTCTCCGCAACTCGTCCTCACACACACCGTCGTACAAAACAACACCCTATTCAGAATGCTTCCTCCACTTTCAAGCCCTTTCTCCCCTATCCCTCTCTTGCGGTCTCACTCGTCTCCTCACACACCGACCCTCACCTTCCAATCGCTCCAGGGGCTTGCCCTTTCCCTTCAAATCGTCGAAATCCCCCTGTGCCATCGCCAACTGAATCTTCTCCTCCACGCTCATCCCCTCTTCAGGTGTACCCTCCGTCCCTCCCTCCGCCACTTCCTCACGGCGCACCCTCCGCCGGAAAACCGCGCGCTCGGCCCGAATCAACCGTGCTTTGCGCGCTGCCACCTCCCTCTCGAAATAGCTCGCGGTAGAATGGCCATCCGCGTCCCCACCATCAAATTCAGGCAGACTGAGCCATTGCCGGTTGGCAGGATCGTCCTTACGGATGATCAAACGAGACTGGTCTCGGACTAATGGATTGTTCACCTGTTCCGCCTCGTACTGTTGAAGCTGTTTCGGTAAATGGCTGACGAAGGTGGTGTGCTCCATTACACGTTCCCATGAAGGATCACGATTGCGGGTCAAATCGCGAAACACTTGTACTTTGGGCTGCCCGCCCTCCTCCCTATTTTTCCCTGTCCCTCCAGTGCTGACGTTAAACCGACGAGTCGGTCTGTGACTTGCGGCGTCGGCAGCGACAATATTGAAAGATGATGAAGGCAAAGGGGTTGCGTCATTGTCTTGGGGATGAGGTTCATCGGATGGACTTGTGCCGTCGTTTTGTCGAGTGGAGGAGGAGAGGGGAGGAGGGGACAGGTGACGCCAGCGGTAGAGAGATCCGAAAAGAGAACGCGGCTGACGCAGGCAGTGCAAAGAATCCTGTACAAGGCGATGCATCACCTTTGATAACCCTGTGTGGTTGAGATACGACAATTTTTTCAAGTTATGGCATAAAAAGAGGGAGATGGCTTGGAGGAAGGAGGCTAGCTGCTTGAAGCTTGAGGGGGCGGATAGTGTTGGGTGGTAAACACACCGATTGGAACACAAAGTAAATGACCACCAAACACTCCTCGTCCCGAGCAATCAACTCACGCGTCATCGAATGCACCTCAAATATCATTTTCGCCAGGCTTGTGCAGAGGTTTAGTGGAGATGTGATGAACAGTGCCAAAAGTCGAATTCGTTTATATGCTGAACACTGTACGTGCCGAAACTAGCGCCCTGGAAGGCTCATATTGATGAAATGTCTCTTATAGCGTCCCCTACAGTGAACCAATGTGCAGTCCGTCGAAAGAATGAAAGTTCTTATTATAAAGCCAACGCAGTTATGAAAGTAACACTGTCGCGAGCGGAGCTTTCTGCAGGGACAGGAAACTTTGTTTACGCGACCGAAGGGATACATGGCAATTTTTGTAAGCTGCGGCAAGCTATTACAACAATTAAATCATTACTTGCGATACTAGTCTTCCTTTTGCCATATTATTTGTCTATAGCAGACCGTAAGCTTCAGTTAACACCTTGTCCTACTCGCCCCCATTTTGTGGCAAGAGGCCAAGACGAGTACACGCAAGACACACCGTTTTGAATGTTTCAACACCCACGATTTCGACTTCCTTTTAAATAATTTCAATCCCTAAGCCTAAATTTACTTGCCTCTGTGACTCGAGCACCCAATCGTGGCACTACCAAATACCCAACTTTTCACCCAAGCCTAACGTAAGCCCTTTTGTCTTTGGAAAGGTGCCCCAGTTCGCGTCGTCTTCTTGCCCAAGGAGAAGTCTTCACATCTTTCAAATAAACAATGTCTCCCCGTCAAATTGGAATAGCAAAGTGCACACGATTGCAATCTTCCCCCCCCCCCCCCCGACGCTGTGTCACACGGTTTCGTCCATCATGGACACCACGTCTGTCAGTGTCAAAATGCTCTTCGTCGCCAAATGGAGCAACGCACTTGAGCACCCGGGGCGACAGGCCCGGCGGACTTGCCGCAGGGCCGCGTGGAGAACCTCGAGTTCCTCCAAGTAGTCCCGGTCTTCCTCCACCACAGTGGCGGGGCGGTCATCGGCCGTGAGTCCATGAAACTGAAGAGGCCCCGAGTTCTCGTACATGTCGTGCATACCCCACAGCTGGCGTTTCCCCATCAAAAACTTGTACGCCGCTCCACGCAAATCCACTTTTTTGGCGGGCACCCGGGGGCGGAGTTGACCGTTGTAGGCGAGACGGTGCTGTTCCAGCTCGTCGTACGCGAGCATGGCCGTCAGAGGCACGCCTGCCACTTTCCAATCTTCTTCCTCCACGCCCTTGAGCCCCGTGATGGTGGCAAGGTAACCGGTCCGACCCGTGTGCACAAGCACGGCCGCGGCTCCCCCCATGGAGTACCCCAAGTTGCAATCAAAGTTCGAGGGGAGGGAACCACGGGCTTGGTAACCAAGAAAGGAGCAGACCGGGGTAAAACTTCCCTTGTACTGGCCCAACGCCTTGCGTCGGTTCAACTCCGTCTCCACAAAATGACAGAGGAGACGTTCCGTCTCGATCGCGGAGAGCTGGACACCTTTGCTGGAGGATCGCGCTTTAGTCATCTGTACTTGGATATATGGAGGCATGGACCGGAGAAGCGCGGCCGACCAAGTGGTCAAGCGCGAGACTACCGCCTCCACCGAGGTCAGTTCCTCCTCGCTTTCCCGGAAGGCGACGTCGATTTCTTGGAGGAGGACGGCGATTTCGGGGATGGAGAGCACCAGGCCCTCGGGCACCAGAACGGTCCCGTAGTGCCGGTTGCGGGCCGCGCGGGCAGAGACCAAGTCCGCCACCTCCCGAACCACCTCCTGCAAGGACTTGCGGGAAGCGTCCACGTCCTCCGCCAACAATATCAGGTTGGGGGCGGAGCGGAGGGCGACTTCCAAGGCGATGTTGCTCACGTTCGAGCCCATCAGGCGCAGGAACATCCAGTATTTCTTGGCCGAGGCCCCGTCGATGGCGGTGTTCCCCACCAGCTCCGAGTAGACTTTACATGCCGTGTGGAAGCCCAGGGTGGTTTCCACGAACTGGTTGGTCAAGGTCCCGTCGATGCCCGCAGGGACCACGGTGCAGGCGGTCGGGACCCCCTCCGCCATCAGGTATTCGCTCAGATAGGCCACGCCCGTGGCCGTCCTGCACCCGCCCACAAATACGAGTCCGTCGAGCCGAAGCCTGACGCAGGCATCCTTGAAGCCCTCCATCATCGCGACCGTGTCGGGGAATTTCTCGTGCGAGCGGCCGAGCAGGTCCAGGCCCCCCTGGTTCCGGTAAGTCGACAAGAGCTCCGAGGTCACTTGCACAGTCTGCTGTTTGTAGATACCATCGATGCCACCGACGAAGCCCAAGAGGGTGGAGTTGGAGGCGGCCAGGTAGTCGTGGAGGCCTGCGATGACGTTGTGCCCCCCAGGGGCTTGTCGGCCGCAAAATACCACGCCGACAGTGATGGGCCGCTCCCCCGCGGCTCGATGGGTGGTCGCCGCTCGTTTAGAGGCATGGGGTTCCTCCCTGTCCAACAGGGACCGCATGCCGTCCACCTCGGAGACGGCGAGCTCGGTCCTGAGGTCGGAGAGGAGGAACGGGTTGGTGGTACCCTGGCGATCCGGATGGAGGACGGAGGGGGAAGGGAGGAAAACGGTGCAAAGGGTAGAGTAAAAACGGGGTCAGATTTTGCCTTAGCAGTTGTTATGCAACTAGATTCTTGTGTACAGTCGCTCGGACTGTTGCAAGGAGAAGCTTACTAAATAGGGCGGGGATCAGACCTTCTAGGAGCCTGTGCATCACTAGAAGCAAGCAAAATGAAGCCTGAACACTACTGTCGTACCTGCCGCGGGATCTCTTCCTCCTCGGCCGCACAGGTGCCGTTGGAAGAGACGGAGAATTTGTGCGCATTGACCTGCCGCTGCTGTGAGCCCTCCTTGGGATCTGCATGGAGATGCACCATGGGCAAGCCGTAGGATCGCGGGAATTCGCGGCGCATCAGGGCCCGGTCCTTCCCGTACAGGCACTGGGTGGCCTCTCCCTCCACCACCTGCACGTTCAGGGTGGTGCGTCCTTTCAAAGCCTGTGGCACCCGGTTTTTATACTCGAGACGATGGAGCTGGACGCTGCTCAGGCACGCCCGGGGCGTGGGAGAGAACAGGTAGCCTTCCATTTGCGTCATGGACCGGGGCACGTCGGGGGCGTCCACGACTTCCTCCTCGGGCAGGAACTCGTACTGCAGCGTCAGGTTCACATCCTGAGAGCAAGGGCCGTCGAATTGGATGGGGCCAGGGGCGCGGTAGCAGTCCTCCACGGCCCATTTATCCCGGCGCTTTTTCAAAATTTTAAAGGGCTTTCCCTCGAGCTGAACAAGAGCCTTGCGGATCACAGGCTTGAATTTCCTGGGAGGAGAGGATGAAAAGGAGACGCAACTTACTTGAAACATGAAAAGATGACAGATTTTACTAAATAAATAATGATCGTCAAGAAAACTCGACGGGATCGGAACGCAATGGGGTTGATTTCTGGGCGTACCCATGGCGCTTCTCCATGTTCATCATCATGGTCAGAGGCACCCCGCCGCACTTCCAATCTTCCACGGGGCCACACACACCGGTGATGGAGACCATCAGCGAGGTAAGCCCGTTGCCTGAGATAGGAGATGATGAATGTAATGGAGGAGTGCGGAATCAACGTCTTATAGCGAGGCTAGAATTATTATTCATCTTCCTGACTGCAAACAAGTAGGGTACAAGGTGTACAAACCGCGTTAGTTTCGCTGTACGATAAGAAAACGAACCTATGAGGTGCCCCGCTGTCAAGCCCAAAGAGTAGCAGTAGTTTGAGTCGAAACCACTGGGTAGTCCTGCGCGGCCTTCATACCTATTCAGATCCCGAGCGAGCCAATTACATTGGGACAAGAAGTCAACGCTTCCTTTCATACAACTCGTTCTCCCGTGTATTTCCCTCTGATGTTGATCCTTTGGACGCAGTCTGCACACGATTTGAATGGGAAGCCTGACTTACCCAAAAGAATGAAACTGGGGATTGAAGACGCCTGCATATTGTCCATACTTGCGGATCTTTTCCAGCTCCAGCGCAATTGTCCCTGCCAGTAGCTTTTCCGTCTCAATTTTTGCAACCTATTCCCCAAAGTTAAAATACGTTGAAAAAAGGAGCACGTATGATATGAGACAGTTGAACCATGGGAATAGAGGCGAATATTCAGCACCAAATGCGCATGCTATTTCTAGCCCGCTTTTCAATGAGCTTTTCCTAGTCTGCAGGGTATTTACATCTTAGCACGCTCAAAATGACTAATTTCTCGTCCGCCACAGAAGCATCCCTTCCGACAAGCCATCTTTCAAAATTACAAATTACTTTATTCACGTGATTGATCTTCAGTTCATTGACTCACCTGAACGTTACCGTGTGGGTCTCGATCCAAAAGAAGCTGCTCCTTGATGTTGGCTGGAAGATATGAAAAGACCGCCCGATTGTTGAACGAAAGTTCCCGCATGACCGCCTGAGAGAGGGGGAGAACTTCACTGAGAAGGCGACCCCCAACATTTTAAGATAAACCCTTTCACAATTCTGAAATGCCTTCCTACTGGCTCCCGTGCATTGACAGCCGTCGAGACTCACCTCTTCAGTATTAGCCACGCCTGCAGCCATCAGATCATTGAGCTCGTGCATTAGAGTTTGGAACTCAGGGATGAACTCAATAATACCCTGCGAAGAGAAACGGAGAGGCGCGGAAGTGAGCGACAAAAGGGCGACAATGCTGAAAGAGTATCCTCGTCGTTCGCACCCTTTTTGCCTAATTTATCCTGCACATAAAGAGATCGTACCTCAGGAAGAAGGATCACGCCGTAATGTTTGCCTGACGAAATATAGAGAGGGACACGAGTAAGTGATATATACAAAGCATGATCAAATTAATGACATGCTCACACCTTGCTTGGCTCGCTCCAGGATCATTCTGACGAGCGAATGCGTCACTTGGGACAGAGAGAGGTGTTCCGCCTGGTAAATAATGTGAAAAAGGCGTTCTTCCATTACGAATCCATGTACTTAAATGCAAGCGTTGATCTGAGATTTTCCTTCTACTCACCTCAACTTCCTCAGAGATCAGCGTAGCATTTGGACGGGTCTGTAGGGCGCACTCCAGTGCGATGTGGGAGGCACTTCGCCCTGAACGATGCATCGACACACAGAGGCTGATGAGTCGTCATCCAGGGGTATAAAGTACACCACATTCATACTTGCCACGCGCGTCGTAGCATCATGCGCGCTTGCTACTTTTAAAAGGCATGGTGCGCTAGTGTTCACATTGTTTGCACTGATGTAATATTACAACACACCTCTGTAATGTACACACGGGACTGAAGATGGAAAGGAAGCGCACAAGCCAGGGCAAACGCGAGAAAAAACATGAAATTCTTACCCATGAGACGAACGAAGTGATAATATTTTTGAGAGGAGAGACAGTCAAGCATGACGTTCCCAATCAACTCCGAGTATGTCTTGCAGGCCTGATTTTCCGAGTGGGGTAGGGAGGCCAAAAGTTAAACACAACAAAGTCTACATGTATCTTGACAATCACCATTCGATATTGACACTTAAGGAGATATTCGCAGTACACTGGAAAAATTATCTGGTACAAAGTCGGAGATATGCGCGTCACTCGAATAAAGGGTGTTTCGACACTTCTCCATAATTTTCTATAGGGACACCTTGTTACCATTGCACAGAATTCTCAATTCTATACGAAGGTCCCCAAGGAGGCGTCGTCAAATAACAAAGAATAGAAGAGTCCATACGAGAGAACGGGGAACAGAGCTCACCGTGTCAAATCCGAAAGAGACAGGAATGTAATCATTCTTCAGGTCGCCGTCGATCGTCTTTGGAGCTCCGATCACACGAGTCGAGCAACCATTCGCAGCAAAGTATTCCGCTGAGAGGAGTGAAAAAACATAAGAAACATAAATTTATCGCTATCAGCGCGCGGCGAATCCGAACAGCATGAGGACAGAGGGATAGAAAGCAATGTAACGTACCGAGCACAGCAGCGTTAGTATTGCTATCGTCCCCGCCAATGACGACCAGGCCATCCAGAGCCAGTGATTGACAGACCCTTTTAGCGCCCTGAATCGAGGACGTGAGGTCGAAGGTTGCGGAGAGAAAGAGGATAAATGATGAAATAAAAACCCGTTTATGAACAAAAGGGCATGACATCTTCAACGGTGGTGTATATAAAATACCCCCCTTTTACTCTCCCCCCCCCTTCTGCTGTCCATACCGCGAACTCTTCAGGGGATTCGATTTTATTGCGGCCAGAGCCCAGGGCATCGAACCCACCGGTGTTCTGAGGGACAAAGGAAGCGTGGGAGGAACATTGGGCGAAAGACGACATCGCGACGGGCGGGATAAAATTTCAAAGGAAGTGGTGCATGAGCCAAGTGGGAGATTTGTAGGACTTCTTCATATGAGAGAGGCATGCGAGAAAGAGAAGGACCGTGGCAGTGTCCATGACACACGTAATGAAAAGGGAAAAGGCTGGAATAAGGAACAAGAGAAACTGGGATTACGCACCCTGTAAGCGTCCATGAAAGCTGCATCGACGACGTAGTATTTGCCGGTAAAGACGCCCTTCGGGCCGTTGGCGAACCCCAGAAGTTCCGAGTCCGGATGCACCGATTTGATGTAGTCATACACGCCTGTGGGGACAGGAAAGAGCCAGGTGGAGAGAAGAGCGGCGAGTGCCACGTTCAAAAAAACGTGAGACGCACGATGGCCGTTGCAATCGTCCTCTCAAAGAAGACAATGGTGCAGGTACAATTCCGGGTGCTATTCGATCCCTCCAGCACGACTCTTCGTCGATGTTCTCTTCTCAAGCTATCCTGTAACCTGCCCAACGAGATCTCCTTGCCACTCGTAGACCTACCGGCAATGACGTTGTGGCCTCCAGAAGCTTGCCCGCCAGAGAGCACGACGCCCACGCGCAACGGCTGGCCTCCGTCGACAGTCCCCCTGTCGCAGGCAAGGAAGGAGCAGGCGGAACCGGGTGGAATGAGTAACAGGGGAAAGCGTAACGATGGCACTCACCGCAGGACATTAGATAGAATCCTTTCGGAGCCTTACAGACACCACTTGGTCCTATTTTCATTGCTCCTGACACCACATACCTGCCCTCGGAGTCCTCTTCTATTGTGGCTAGCTCCACGCGCGGCTTTCCATACGTGCGAGGAAAGAGCTCTTCGATTCGTTCATGATCCGCCACCGCGCCCAAGGCCTCTTTGGGAACCACCTGACAAAGGGGAAGGCGGAGGCAGTATCACACAGACGGGACGGACGAGTAACGTAATGGCAGAGGAACAACGTATGTGAGCCTTTGTTGGTACGAGCCTCCTCCTTTTGAAAAGCATACTACCCTCCTCGTGAATTTCTGAAACCCTCCTCGTGAATTTCTGAAAGAGACTAGAACCCCCTTCAACTCCTGTACCTCAAGTACTCTGGTTCCCTCTTGGTGCTTACCTGCACGCGCTTGCCCGCCAGCACAGCGGGAACTTGAGCAGGCGTTTGCAGACGTTGCCTTTGGAGGACAGAGAATGAAGAGCGGACTTCGGGGCGTGGCAAAGGCTTTCATCAGGAAATACAGATCGAGGCCAATTGAATAGGAGGTTTGGGATGGGGTATGAGTACATTCAAGGCGTTTGATATGACTAATCGACCAGAGGTCACTAGGTGACAAGAAGTCTTCTGGGAGTAAGGACACAAGATTTATTCATATTACCAAATAGAGGGCTCATAAAACATAATTTACCTCTGGTGCCACCGATTCCTCAGACATGATTGGCCAAATACCTTCCAATCGCGAAAAGGGACGCTGTGTTGTGTAGATGCATGCAGTCAAGTTTTATTCGAGTCCTTTGGAACACTCGTAGCACTGAGGCGACCCTTGCCGTATAGGCCTTCATTTTTTATAAGCATACAAACGACAGAATTTTCGGCACGTAGGAAATTCGTCAATTTCCAATCCTGTCTTTCCGTGTTGCAAATACTTGCCTTTACAGGTTCTCAGAGTTGATGTCAATATGGGCTCGCGCAAGCAGCATGTACGATTAGAAAAGGGTCTGCTCGCCAGTGAAATGCAAAGTGCACTCTACCAGAACAATTTGACAATAACGATTCGACCGACCTAATTAACTACCACACACACGACCAATCCTGCGGTGTCACTTCCACACGATCGACGCGCCGTCGTCATATGCGGCCTTGCGTCGATCTGTCGCCTGCCTCTTCGGCAGTTGAAGTTGGCTTGGCGAGACCGCACACTGCCGCACCAATGCCATTAAAAAACACTGCCCTTTATCATACCTGAGGCAGCTATGCCACAGGTAATTCATTATTGCAGATTGAAAAGCTCCAAAATAAAGTGACATGGGTCCTGTAAATGTCGGCCTGGGTAAGCTACCTCGCGTTTCTAATCGGGAGAGTACCTCCTGACTTGCTTGATGGAAGCTTCCGACTGGAGATATCAAACTTACGATTTTCAAATTCATGCTTATATAGAAGTGGGATTAATACAGTTCTAACATCTTTTAGACGGTGTTCATCGCTTATCTTGCACAATTACTTTTCTTCAATGCGGGAAGTTCGTTAGGCAGAGTCTAAGCCCTACCCTTGCAATGAGCTGTTTATAAATGTAGCATCACTTTTTGCACATAAATATGGTGCTTGAAAGTGTACAATGATCGCATTTACAAAGTATACTGACAATTTGTGCTAAATTTCGTCTCGAAATATGCTTGTAAGCACTCTTATATGCGACATTGTATGCACAAAATTCAATTGGCCTAACATCTCCTATCTTGCTCTTTCCACTTCCCCGAGCGACAACGACCTAAAATTGTCAGGAGGTATGCACTTAAGAATTGTATCTTTTTATTTTTATATCTTCTACTTTTCATCTGACAAAGCAGCCTTAAAATGACGCCACGCAATCCGCCCTCTCCGCTCCACCGTCCCTTTGCCATCCACCGTGGGCTCGATGTTCGCTTCCTCTTCACGCAGGCACAGCAACGCCGCCTCACTATCGCAGTTTGAATGAACAAGGACGTGAATGAGGGAAGATGGGGGAACAGAAACGGGTGAAAAGAGACAGGGGCCGGGTGAAAGCCACGCGAGAGAGCATGGAGCTTGGACAAAGCATCCTTGTAGTGACCAGTCTCGAATATCAACCAGCGACTACGAACTAATAGATCTGATTCTCGAGTATCATATGAGCCAGTGTAGATGTATGAGGTACGCACCGACAGAGTCCTTCGAGCTCCGCCCCTGAATAGCCTTCTGTCGCCTCAGCAAGCCGCTCCAATAGGGCCTCTCTTTCCTCCTCTCCACGGGCAGCCAGAGGCATCTGAGCCACGGGGGAAAAGGAAAATTTGAGAAGGAATTCAATCGATTTGTGCGAGTCTCTTCAGTAGCGCTGCACGTTGTGTTTCTCTGTCTGGCATTTGTTCGCGTTCCTTTTCCCCCTCCGCCCATCACCCTCCTTTTCCTTTCTTACCTTTCTCGTGTGTATCCGTAGTATTTCTTCCCGATCTTCGGATGATCGAGGCGGTAGGACATGTATGACATGGGAAAGCCGGCCTGGTCGAAGAAGGGCGGGGTCGAGGGACTGGTGGAGGGCGAGGTGGAGGGAGGGGGGTAGAGTGGGAAGTGACTCTCGCGCACTCACGATGCAGAAGAGGGAAGAGTGCTCTTTTTCAATCTACATCAGACACCTCCTCTCGCCCTCCCTCTGTCCCGCCTTCTCCTCCTCCCCCCCTCCCTCCCTACCTACCTCCTGTAGGTTCGTGGCTCCCACCACCAGGACTCCCTCTTGTCCTGCCGCAACTTCCACCCCATCAAGCTCGTTCAGGAAGGTGGAGAGAACCTACAAGGAGCAGGGCGGAAACAAGAAAGGGAGAGGTGTGGTTCAAGAGGGCGGGAGGGAGCAGGAACTACGGGCGGAGGAATGTGAGGACCAAGCCGGGAAGAAATGAAGGAGGAAGAGCGACGAAAGCAGTAACGAGGAGGATAAGCGAGAGTGTAGCAGAGAAGGGAGAGGAGGAGGAAACGAGACTCACATAGCACGACAAACTGTGTCTGTATCCACAAAGGGAGTGGTGGGCGGCAATGAAGGACACCCCCCCAAAAAAAGAAAAGACCGAGAGGAGAAGAAGGAGGAGAGCATGAACAGACGACGAAAGCCGAAGAAGGTTTTGGGGAAAAAGTGGGCAAGCGAAAGAGAGGCTTGAATAAGCGCGGGGCCGGGCCTTACCCGAGCTTCTGCCGCATGTCCCTTCCCTCCTCGCGTCTCACCGGCACTCCCGCCCACGATGGCGTCAAGCTCATCGAAGAAGAGGAGGCAGGGGGAGGCCTGTGAGGGAGAGCGGGGGGAAGGAAGGGAGGGTAGGAGGCGAGAGTCAAGCGGAAGATCCAGCCTATACCATCGCGCCGACAACGTCTGTGGCCGTGCTACCACCTCACCATCCATTCCCTTATCTCTTCCGTCCTTCCACTTCTTCCCATCTCCCTCTCCCTCCTTCCCTCCCTCCTTCCCTCCCTCCTTCTTTCCCTCCTTCCCACCTGGCGGGCCAGGGCGAAGGCCCCCCGCACTGCTGCCTCCGCTTCCCCTAAGTACATACTGTATATATCACTTGCCGCATAAGACAGAAAAGAGAGACCTGGCACCGAGGCTGCGGCGGCTTTGACTGCAGAGATATACCCAACGTCAGATGCTTGATATAAATTCCCTTTTCGAACTCTTCTCCATCCTTTTGCCCTCTCTACCTGCCTCCCTCCCTCCCTCCCTCCCTCCCTTCCTCCTTCCCCTATCCCACTCGGCCTCCCTCTATGTTACCTAGACAAGTCTTCCCGCTCCCCGGGGGCCCACACAGCAAGATTCCACCTTGTCCGATGAGATTGAAGGAGCGCATGAGGGAGGGGTAGAGGAAGGGGTAGAGAACGGCCTGCCGGAGCCTCCGCTTCGCCTCCGCATGGCCCCCAATGCACGCGAAGGAAAGCGAAGGCCGCTGGGAGACATAGGAGCAAGGGGAGGGCGGGAAATTGGGAGGGAAGAAGGGGGGAAGAGGGAGGGGAAGGGCGATAAGCACGAGTCGTCTTCTCCATCAAATGCCTCCCGCCCTCCCTCC